ACACACACTCACACACTCACTCACACACTCACACACACACACACAGACACACATCCACAAATAAACAGAGAGAACAACATGCTCTTTTTTTCTTTTTTAAAAGCGTCTTCATTGCTTTCTTTAATGGTACATCCTTCCAGGGGTGGTTATGTTTATCCTGCCTCGTGGTGATGGAAACGCTTTTTTTTTTAACTTTCCAACAGGTTTATATATCACATCAATTGCCTCCATCTAATTTACCCACAGTCAGTTTGGCTTGTTTTTAAAAACTACAAAATGAAAAATATGGCAAACGGTCAGCATATACTGTATGGGTGAATATGCTATACTTATTATGAAACTTCCATCAGCAATATGTAAGCATGGTCTCATAAATATCCAGCTGTTGCTGCAGGTTCATTGCCCTACATGTTTAGCAATGCTTAGCAAATGGACAATTAGGAGAGGACGCTGCAAATGTGGGAATGTAATTATTGTGCAAGTGGAAATGTTCTCTGGTGCTGTAATATGCATTTTATTAATTTTAATGATTGCATATTTTCCATTTTCCTGTGAGATCTCCGCAGGCTGAACAGAAGCAGCAAACCAAGCAGTTTTGAAAGGAAGAAAATATTGCCAGCATTACGTTTGCATTTGTGTAAAAAATACTTTTTAAATGAGTTTCAGTATATGTTTAATGAAAATATATGTTTTAACACATTCACATCAGTGTTGTAACCAGTAACAAGCTACTACTAGTAGCAGTGAAGCACAACAAAATGCAACATACCTAACTATGTGACAGAATCTTGCCTTTTCCCCCTCAATTGTGTAAAACACAAAAAATGCCGACACACATTGAAACCGTGTAAGGTTACCATGTAGAAGAGCTAAATCTATGATAAAGCCAAAACATTCAACCAATGTTTAGTTACAGAACATAGTGAGCTGTCTACCTAGACCGCATTTTAAGACATTATACAGTATACCAGATTTACTCACAGCTTGTGCCAACACAAACCCTCTTTTGGCAGTATACTCTCAGGATTTACTAATGACTTATTTGCCCTGTTGAATAAATCTGGCCCGGAGAGTTCACTAGCAATGCACAGGCTTTTCCAAACAGTAGACAGCAGCTCATTCTGGCCCAAATCAGGTTCAGCATGCATGTGTCTTATGAACAATCCCTGACTGAACGGTGACACCAGAGGTGAGAAGGACACATCGGCGGGACACAATGGCATGGGGCACTCGTACCAAACCCTCTTTGAAACCTTAAATGACAAATGGGACACCCTATGGCAGGAGGTCCAGTCCAGCAGATCTGAGCTCCAGCTCCAGTCAAACACACCTGAAGCAGCTGATGGAGGAGTTCAGGATCACTGCAGATGTCTGCCCTGCCCTATGGTTTCATTTACTTATATTATGGCATCATGTCATTTTAGAATTGAATTGAAATTTCAGTTTGCTTTTCCAATCAGATTTCTCTAAAGAACTGTAATAAACTCTTAGCAGTTGAGACAGCAAAAGCAGACTCTCGTGGTGGTGTCCCGTGAGGAGCAGACACAGATAAAGCAAAGGAAATGACTGAAATCACCCAGCAGGAAATCATCCTCTAATCTGGGATCTGTACTGTGATGATGCGAACGAAAGCACAGCATAACACTAACCTTTGATTTCAGCTCGGCAGCATTTGAACTGTTAATGTACTCTTCTGACACAATCAGTCCAGCGCATATATAACACATTTCTCTGTTCCTGTCAAACTCCCCCTCTTTCTTTTCAAAGTATTTTCTCCTGTCTGGATGCATTTGTAATGCTCCTCGTCCAACCTCGTGCTGTTGTCAGGAGTAAAATAGCTGGAGATTTCTCATTTTTAATCTGTCAGCTCCCTCTAAATTATAACTCATTATTCTGTGCGCTGACAGCACAGGAAATGGACTTTGAGTCCTTGAAATGTCAACTAACTCTCAATAAACGAACTGTATGCCAGATGACTCCTTATAGCACTAGAGATCTGCAGGCACTCCACAAGAAGTCCATTTGCTGGCGCTGCAATTAAAGCAACAGTCAGAATTGTCTGTTACACAATGAAATTCTCTTTAATTTACAGTGACATTTACAGAAGTAAGCCAACATCTGCTTCACAGAGCCAGAGCACAGTAGATGATGGTCAGGTTCTCAGACATGAGTTTATGTACAGAAGACCTGGATTAATGACTGCATTTGGTAAAATGAGCACAAATCACAATCCACTCAGTTTTACCACAGAGTCAGTGACTCAGTATTTGATCAGATTGCCAAATGTCAAGACATTTTTTCACAAAATCAAATAAAAAAAGCAAAGTGCAAAGTAAAGCCCGTTACGTGAAATAAGGACAAATGTTTATCATTGTAAAGCTGTCCAGTAGGACATTGAAAGCCAGCTGTACGTCCAGCCTTGTTCTTTGAGAAGTCGTTCTCTTCGGCTGAAGTCAGTGCCGCTCTCTCTCTCTCACGCTGCCAGCTGCTCAGATTGGGCGGTTAGACAGTGATGCTCACCTCCAGGGTCACGGGTCTGGCCTGCATGACAGCAGCCGTCCAGAGCTCAACATCACCCGTGTTCATAGCCCAGGTGGATTGACTGACTCCCTAAACCACACAACATGCTCAAAACTTCTGATAGTTTGAAGGTGAATTGTGCATTTTTTGCACCGAACAAAAATAACTCAATTGTTAGCTTTTCTATGGATAACGTATGTACTGAACTCGACGGCACAATGCTAAAGTGTTTCTGGTGCTGTCAGGGAGTTGCTAAAGAGTTCGGAGGCTGTTTTGTGTGTGTTTTGTTGCTACTATAGGTTGTTTGCTAGGGTGTTGTTTCTGTACTGCTCTGCTCTCGACATAGACATACTCCCTCCTAGATATGATTTGAAATATCATTCATACCAGCATGAACAAAGGGTTAAAGGAATAGTTCGCCCAAAAATGAAAATGTCCTCACTCTCAGGCCGTCTGTCGCAATAGCTGTGCTGCATCACGCACACGACCACAAACACGATGATGAAGGTGAAAGGCAATCTTTAATAAATCCACAGGCAGAAAATCCACAGCTGTAACATCTCCTTGACAAAGATGAGACCTGACACCAGTGAACAGAAACGGGGTAACTTAATTATCCAAACAATGAGGATAATTAACGACACACACCTGAACTAAAGGATGAAATCAATTCAATAACCATGATGACAACCAACACAAGAGGGAAAATGTGCAAACTGAAACAAAGTCCAAACTAATTGAGAGTGTGACAGTACGCTCATTTATATTTTGGCCTGGCTCCGCTCCGCGAGCCTCCGCAGACTGCACGCGCACAACCCCAAATTCTGGAGGCTTTTATACTCAACGCGTTCGACGTTGTGATATTATTTGAAACGACAGGGGCCGCACAAGCGAAATCATCTTCGGAAGTAGCAGGAAAGAACAGAGAAGTAGGAGTTTCCCGGAATTACGTCATACAGAATGCAATGTTTTTATGCCACAACATATGTGAAATAAGTAATATGAAACACTCGCACAAGCAATTATGAGATTTTTTTTTATTTATTCAGAAAACAACACAATACACTTTCTGTAACATTGAAATTTGCTTTTGGGTTAAAGGTCCTTGCACACTGAGTCCAAATTTTTGTATGCATTTTTTCGTATTAGTCATCCTAAAGATTTGTCACGCACAGAAACCTTGCACACTGAGTCTGATGCATATTAATTAATCTGTTGCAAAAAAATTCACAAAACAATACAAAATGGAGTCTTTAAGCAGTGAGGATGATTTTGCTGTCTTCTCTCTTCTTAAAAAGAGAAAGAGAAAGAGGAAATATTGGATCCATCATCCAATCCAAGGAGAGTTCCACCTCCTCATCAGGGAGCTGCGGGATTATCACGGGCGATTCAGAGTTCACTTCAGGATGTCAGTGGCTCAGTTTGATGCTTTGCTAGCTATAGGAGCCATATATTAAAAAGAAGACCACCAATTTCCATGAACTCAATGTGCAAGAGTTCTATATAGTGCTTTGTGCAGTGAGCAGAAGTGGATCAGCTTGTCAGATGCCATTCTGAATTTTGGAGTTCGCTTGTACGGTGGCTCTAAATAGTCAAAACACCTCTCAAAATGCTTGCTACATATGCGAAATACGCCGATCTGATTTTTTTATGACAGACGAAAGTTTCTGAGGCAGTGTGTAAACGGGGTTGACACAACGTGAGATCGTATTTATTTTTTAACGTGCGGAAATTTTGGACGAAAATTTGGGACTCAGTGTGCAAGGGCCTTAACAGTATAAAAATCTGGCTATCTCTATGATCACACATAGACGATCACACATCAACCAAAACAGCTTCAAAATCGTTCATGTGGCGCCGCGCAAACAGTTCACTGGAGATGCTGTGCACACCGCCAAGTGAAATAGAGTTGCGCTCATTCAACTTGCGGACGCGTCGAGTATAAATCCGGCTTTAGGAGGACAAAGAACTGGTAGAGGGCCAAACAAAAAGGTCCAGGGTGGTGCAGAAGATGGAGCATTCCAATGGGTGACCTAGAAAAAGAAAGGGTAGATGGTATCCCAGTGCACAGCCAGGGCTGCACTCCACGGTGGCGTCGCTGGAGGGAGGAGCCATGGAGGAAGGCGACACCATGGAGACGATCGAAGGCGATGGTGACACTAGAGATGGAGCCCACCAAGTAGCCAGAGAGCTGATGAAGAGGAGAGAGACCAAAGACCTTGGCGGCCGCAACCCAGCTGCAGCGAAGTCCGACCCAGGTGGAGGCGATGTACCGAGAGAGCCTGGCGAGGCTGAATGCCCGATTGTCACTGCTGGAGTTGAGGGAGGAAGGAGTGCAGGCGTGGGAGCCAGGGTGACGGGTTGAGGTGGAACAACATGTTCCTCACGTCCAGGAGGAGATGGCTCCCAGCAGGCCCAAGGTGGTGAATCCACGGCACTGAGAGGAGGCTGAGATGGTACAGAGAGGCTGATGCAAAGACTGGGTGGCATGAGGGGCTGAAGACTGAGGGGGAGACTGAAGAAAAATGCAAAAACCAACAAAAGACAACGCATTCCAAATGGCAGATTCGAGAGGTGGTGGGAGGCTGGGCAAGGTTAGCACAACTAAAGATGAAGAATCTCATTTGGGCATAATTAAGCGACACAGAGAATTCATCTCTCCTCACACACTCAAACTATCCATTAAATCCATCCGGCACTCACTCTCAATGGCGGGGGGGTGGATGGAGCTCGCTTCCGTCCCCTTGTACTCCATGAGGACTCCCATGGATGGTACAGCTGGCTTGCACACCTGGTCAAACGGGTTCCCCTCAGATGTGATGTAATGTCAGGCATGATCGCTATTCCTGGGATGGGCTCTAATATCATGGCTAAGGTGCTGTCTCCATTTGCGGTGGTCTCATGCTGTCTCTCCTCACAGTGGGGTGGTATCGGGCTGGGGTTAGGAGTGGGACTGGCATCGTCATCGACAGGTCCGACGGTGAGGGGAGATCCACAGGACGCCAGCACCCACTCCACAAATTCAGCGAAGCTCCCCGAGGGCCTTCCCCGGACAACTGCTCCTTGGTGGTGGTGTTCAGGCCGGCATGCAGAAATGAGCAGAGGTAGTCATCCGGGAAGCTAGATAGATTCACCAGAAAGAGGAAATCCTCTACATGTTCCTCAAGGGAACAATTCCCTTGTTCAAGGCTGATTAACAAAAAAGAAGGATTGTCAATAGTGAAAAAAAAAGAAAAAGAAAAAAGCCTCATTCATCATAACGTAATTACTTCTGGCCGGGTCTTCTGTCACAAGAGCGGTGTTGCAACATGTACATAAACATGAACACAATGATGAAGGTGAAAGGCAATCTTTAATAAATCCACAGGCAGGAAATCCACATAGAGAAAACTGCTACAACACCTCTAGACACAGACAAAACCTGACACCAGTGAACAGAAACGGGGTAACTTAAGTATTCAAACAAATGAGGATAATTAACGACACACGCCTGAACTAAAGGACGAAATCAAATCAATAACCATGACAACCAACACAACAGGGAAAATGTGCAAACTGAAACAAAGTCCAAACTAAGTGAGAGTGTGACACCGTCCAAGATTAGGATGAGTTTGTTTCTTCATCAGATTTGTAGAAATGTAGCATTGCATCAGTGTCTCAGCAATGGATGCTCTGCAGTGAATGGGTGCCGTCAGAATGAGAGTCCAAACAGCTGATAAAAACATCACAATAATCCACAAGTAGTCCACAGCACTCCAGTCCATCAGTTAATGTCTGGAGAACCAAAAAGCTGCATGTTTGTAAGAAACAAATCCATTGAGAGATTTTTTACTTCAAACCATTGTTCCCGACTAAATTGCGAGTCCATAATCCATATAAAGCTGGAATCTCATTCTGACGGCACCCATTCACTGCAGAGGATCCATCTCATCCTAATCTTGGATGGCCTGAGGGTGAGTAAATTTTCAGCTAATTTTCATTTTTGGGTTAAATATTATTTTAAGGACAAATCCCTAAGCCAATTCAGTACAAATAATGAATGTCTCAAAGCAAGTTTCTCCAACACTCCTCCTGTTTGCCATCTGTCAGACACTAATGATGTCAAACAGATACACTTACTTCAAACTCAGGCTATTGCTTAGAACCTGAACTGTCAAACCATTCAAACAAATAACCATTTCTTAACAAAAAAAGAGGAAAATTCTTGATTATTTCACAGCTGCATTGTTTATGACAGATAATGATCAGAAGACCTGTAACAGCACCTTCTGTAAAGTAAGAAATTACACACTGTGTTTCATATTTGTTCACTTACATTTTGGTTGTTGCTGTTTTTCTCATGCTCTATGGGCCCATAATGTTACAATTGAAGACAAAATAATAAAAATATTTGAGTGATTCTGTCACAATATGGTTGTAGGAAGATGAAGATTCGATGAAGAAGATTGAAATTCAAAAAGACTCTTTAATAATATCCACAAGTAGATCCAAACACACATGGCAAGCAAACACAACCATGACAGACTACACCAGACAAAGACCAAAGAGAACTGAAGGCTTATATACACACTAAGGAACTAATGAGATAATTAACAGGTGAACAAAATGTAGTCAAACACAAAGACTAGGTCAAACTGCAAACAAGGAAGACAGAACCAAAACACAAGACCAAAACTGAACATAACCCTGACACTACAGTCTCACAGTCTATTTAAAAATCTATTTGAAGACTAGAAATGTGTCATAGATGTTTAGATTAAATGCAGAGTTGACCCTGATCATCCAGGAAGAATTATGTATTTTATGCATGAGAAATCATCTGCATGTCTTCAGTGCTGAATTCAATGTAGCTCAGTCTACAGTGAGCCTCCGACGCTCTGAATCTGATTCCTTGAGCAATAGATAAAGTATTCAGCACTAAACATCATGGCCGGCCACAGCCTCGTTCATTTGCATCTCCTGACGTTTTCTCTCTCTTAAAAGCTGTAATTGCAGGCAGAGGAAGCTCTTCACTGCTGTGCTGCGAATGCTGCTGAAAGCCCTGAAGGGTTTTTACACATTATCTGCATAGAATCAGCATATGTGAGAATAGTGGATCAGTGCAGTAAACAAAGCAGTATTATTCAGCAGGTAATGGGAGCGAGTTTACCAAATCACTCCTCTCTATGCAGTCAGCACTCAGGTAATTAAAAGCAGAGCGTGAGCATGTTCACACTGCTGATCTCATGAACTGTGTGCTAAGACTGATCATCTGAAGGATTCAGAGCATTAAACACTCGTGTCCGTGTCCAGATCTCTTCATTTAGAGATGACAATGAAGCAGCGTTTCTTTCAGCTGATAGCTTGTGTCGGGTGAGGATTTGAGCACTACTACATCTTACACAGTCGTCCTGAGAGCTCCAGTGTGAGTGTGGTTTGAGTGGATGTGGGTGAGAGCGTTCGCTATCTGTGGCCCAAACTAGAGGTGTTTAAAGAGGAGGTCAGTGGAAATCAACCAGCAGCATGCGGCTTTCTCTGGGAAACAGGTCATTGCCCTTTAGCCGTCTGAGAATAATGGATATTTAAAGACAATGCTTTTTACATAAAGATTGCACCATTCATTATGTAAACATTATGTAAAGTGTCCTTAGGTTTTTGAAAGGTGCTATATAAATATAACAACATTATTATTATTATTATTATTATTAAAATGGTATAAATTGTTTATTTATTTTAACTCACTATTTGTACATGGCCTTTTAATGTATTAACAAGGTAGAGACCTCAATTTGTAAACTATGAATTAACTATAAACCAATAGTTTACAAATGATTTATAAGTGCTTTTATTTTTGATAACCGTATCGATCGATGCTGTAGTGCTGGTCTGTGAGGAGGACAGTGTCCTGTTCTCTGTGCCTCACAATGTGAGTCTGTGAGTGCCTTTGATTGCTTTTAAAGGAAAGTCTTGGGCTGATTTGAGCACAGCAGTGCATTAGTCCTGTCAGAGCAGCGTTTTTATGTGTTTACTGCGTTTCTCTCTGATATTCTTCCCTGGAAACACACTTTAAAGTGTTGATTTTTCTGTTGCGTAGAAGGCTTTTGTTTATCCAGGTCATGGGAGGATTTCTGCTCATGTGTATGAGTGAAGAAAGGAGTATTATTTCTGTGATTTTTCGTGCAGGGGCAGATTGGTCTGTTTAATGCTGATTAATGCTCTTTTGTGGTTGTGTTTGGCAGGCATGCGTCTGGTCTTATACTGCAGGGCTTTCTTCGGCTACAGCGGGGATTCCAGGCCCATCATCTACTGGATGAAGGGAGACAAGTTCGTGGAGGAGCTGGAGGGACACATACGAGAGAGTGAAGTCAGGTACCGTTAGAAACTGATCCTGCTTAACATTAACCTGACCGTGCATGACCTCACAGTGCTGAAGCTGAAGAACGGCCCGGGATTATATAACAGCCTGCAGGAGAGCGTCTGTGATGATCACTGACACACAGAGACCTCTAGTGGACAAAACATGTGCTCTCAGTCTGCTGTCATTCCCACACCATCCACCGGAGGGCTGCAACATACATGACACCGAGTGTTCAGGTGTGCACTATACATTACTGTGTGCAATACAGTATGATATAGAAAACACTCTACTACAGTCACAGTGCGGTGCACACCTAAAGCACACTGAGGACTGATTATAGATAGATAGTGGTAGACAGATTTATTGATTTATTTATTTGAGACACTAAATTGTCTAAATTATTTTTGAATATACTCGACTTATATTTAATTTATTTAGTTGAACACTTAAAGTAGTATGTGCTTTCATCAAACATAATATAATTTAATAGAACCAGGGTTATTATACTTAACTAAACTAAAACCAAACAATAAACGCAAACTGAAATAAAATAAAATAGATATAAATTGAAACTTATTTCAGCTACTTTCCGAGGCAACAATTCTCATTTTCATTTAGTTTAACTTGATGTACTAAAATAACTCAAACTTGAATAAAATTGAACAATAAAAAAACTATACATTAAAACTACTAAAAATGACAAAAACACGGCCCAAAATTACTAAAACTTTAACTACAATTAAAATGGAAAAAACGATTCAAAAACTATAATGGTATCTCAATGATACTAAAATAGCACTGAATATAACATAATAGAAACATAACTTTTAATCATAAACACTAGAGAACACCGCACGGTTCCTTTACAGGGCTCAACGCTAAGGAGTTGTTTTTGACCCATGTAACCTTGTATTTTAATAAATAATCTTAAATAAAGATAAATAAAGAACAAATTGCAAACAATGGCACAAATAAATACATCAGACTAAAGTTTTAGTTATTTCTAAAGCAGTGTTTGTTTCATTTCTTTAAGTAGGTCTAAGTGTTGTCATGAACTGCTCTGAGACCCGAAGGCTGAGGATCCAAACACAGTGTTCATTCAGAGGATAATCCACAATCACAGGCAAAAATCATACACCAGCAAAACAGTCCAAACAATAACAAGAAACACAGACAAAGAGTAATCCAGAACAACGGCAGAATAAACCAAGACGCAGAAAAACAGGAAATAGAAATGCAGTCCATAACACATGCAAGACTTCACCATGAATGACTGAATGATATAAATATATATCATATACATATATAGGGTGAGCAGTCAGGGTTAATGAGACAAACAATGAGTGCTGATGAGTCCGGGCAAAGGATCATGGGAAATGAAGTCCAAGACTGAGTGACAGAGGTACCGTATGGGATGGAGCGCCCTCTGGTGGTTATCAAGGTCACTCCAGCTGGTGATCGTGACAACAGTAGTATTGAAATACATACTGTATACATTTAATATAGATCAATCCTTATCAAAGCTAAAGAAATTATCCAGTCAAGAGCAAATCTGAGTGTTTTTGTTTTGTTTTGTTTTGTTTTGTTTTGTTTTTTTTTGTTTTGTTTTTTAGACACCAGACAGCAGCAGTGATATTAAGCTGCTGTCACTTTAAGACCAAATGCAGGCTCTGCGACACATCAGATTTTCTCCCAGCTGTTTACGGTCATTTAAGATGTTTTATCTGAACTCCCTTAAAGGGATAGTTCACCCAAAAATGAAAATGTGATGTTTATCTGCTTATACCCAGGGCATCCAAGATGTAGGTGACTTTGTTTCTTCAGTAGAACACAAACGAAGATTTTTTACTCAAACCGTTGCAGTCTGTCAGTCTTATAATGCAAGTGGATGGGAATCACGGCTTTGAGAGTCAAAAAAACATACACAAACAAAACCAAATTAAACCATGCGGCTCGTGATGATACATTGAGGTCTTAAGACACGAAACGATCGGTCTGTGCAAGAAACAGCCATATTATGTGGCTAGAAACTTCAGTGATGTGTTGCCCGTTGAAAGCGTTCAGGTGTTTGGTGTTTGGTGTTTTGCGAGTGTCTGTTATTTCAATAGTTTTTGATGTGTTCGAATCATTGATGGTTCAGGTTTGTCTGCTTCAGGCTGATACTGTGATTCATTATTTAGGGTATTAAACTGATAATTGTGGTGTCACCTGCATACGTTATGACTGACTGTGCCCCAGTGCACAAAGCAAGGTCCATAAAGTTGAGCCCTGACCCTAACCCCATCCAACACCTTTGCGCTGAACTTGAATGGAGATTGTGAGCCAGGCCTTCTGGACTACTTCTAATTTACTCATTCCAAATTAAGTTATGAATGAGCTGAAGAGAGTTTTTCCAAACATTGCACAAACAGATGGTCTGAAGTAATTCTGCATCTAATCCCAGTGTGGACACACCATTAAACTCAGCAGGAACCAAACAATTAAATTCAACATTAGAGAGACGCCTTTCTGAAACATTAAAATAATCTATTTTTCCCCCTAAGCATTTGAAAGATTTTCTGTAATCTCAGAAAACTCTGATTTTCAGATTGTTCTGTGTGTTTACAGTACAGTTATCTATATATACAGTAAAACACACACACACACACTCACACACACACACACTCACACGCACACA